AAAAATGAGAAACACGACTTCTTGCACTGTTCGTTTATTCGTATTTTCAAACTAAAAATCTGCAACAGAACTGAACATTTTACCAGTATTACACTATTTGTACATTAAAACCACAGTTAGATTTACTTATAGTAATAAGGATAATATATAATTAACGTGATATATAATTAATTAACAATAATAATCAGGCTGCATAATGAAATTCCTAAATGGTAATATTCAACATCACATGGCTACTCAAGTGTACTCATTATCTATCTTCTATATTATTATGATTATTACAAATACATTGTATGATGAAAATTATAACATGCTTACAATCGTATCATAATGTTTACATTCAGGTCCCCAAAATTAGTCAACTTTGGTCATTTTGTGTGAATAACATTTCATTCAATTTGATCAACTTCTGCTGTCCCGATTTTTTCTTCCAACACAATGAAATGATCCTTGCATGAAATTGAGTCGATCAGCACTAAAAAATAAATAAATAGCTTATATTAATTTTTATGGACAAGTCACGCTTGACCAAAAAATACAGCGGTTACTAAGACAGGTTCCCTGTGTCTCCTATGGTTTCGAATTCCCTTCTACTGTCTCATTGAAACCAACACTGGGTTCATTCAGCGACGCGCGGGTCCTCACATCTTCACTTTCACAGTGCCGAAACGGCTACGAGCGGGTACATCGACGCTAGACCATGCACAGACTGGGACGTTCGATGGATTACCGATCTAACCGAGAGCTTCCCCGCAGGTTCGTGGCGTCCCGTCCGCAGACCATGTACCGGCCCGGCTGCCTGTCGGCGGCGCGGGCGTCGCTGCCGCGCCTGCAGGCCGCGCGGCGCGCGCGCTTCCGCGCCTGGCTGAGCCGCGCAGCGCCGCCGCCGCAGCCCACCTAAGGCCGCCCGGCCGACTGCACTCAACGATTCACTGGAAAACTGCACTCGATTCGCCTTCGCGTTCCCCGCGTCGGCCTACAAAATTCACGTCACCTTCGGTGGTGGTTCGACCCGGAAACCGGAGAAGTTTTCATAACCAGGAACGGCAACTTCGCTTTTTATAAAACCTTGGAACATCGACCTGTGTCTGCAGTGCAACGCTCGGCATCTAGAGTGTGACCAGTGTAGAAGCAACCAGTTGAAAAGTGACAGTGAATTAGTGCCTGAATAGTGACTTTTAAAGCGCGTATGAGAGATTCGCCCTTTGTTACAAATAAAACAATGGTGATAATGTTGCCTCCTTTTTCTTGTCTCTTAATTCGTAAATTTGATATCAAATTATATTTTGTTAAAAGATTATTAACTGAAAACTTATATAACAGAAGTAACTTATTAATCTTTACAGTTAATACCGTTGTTGAGAAGATCTTGAGAAGATTGAATGATAATCTTACTCTGTTGCCAAAATTAATGGTGACTATTTGTTCTTTGCTTCTGCCATGAGTTTACAGCGATACTTGTGCATCATTAGCAGTGTTACTAGAAGTAGTAACGAAGTGTTTTGGTGTAACATGGGACTTGTAGCACCATGGGAATTTAAAGGTCTTAATAGGCACCATCAGACCCAAGACATGTTTGTCCCGTCACTGTTGTAGTAGCTAAAACTCGCTGTTAGCTCATGGCTATATAAATACTTTGAAATGGACAACCTTTACTGCTAGTGTCGAGTAGTAAACACGCAAAAGCATTCATTCGTTTGAATTTGCACACCTTTGAATTAAAATTTATCCCAATAGCTGTTAAATTCAAATTTCATTGGCAATATAAAAAAAAACCCTTTTACAATAATATTTGATATGTCTACCTTTGTAGCATATTGTCAAGGCTGAAGATCATGGTAATAGATGAAATAATAACGGTCTTCAAGTTCACTGTACTGCATCAACTCCTGTAAGTCCCACTACCGGGCATGGGTGCGAGTTGTGAATATATTTTAGTTATTTGTACAAATGTATTTTTTGTCATTATGTTTTTTGATTGTTAAATATGTTTGTTTCAAAAGAGTTGTCCGCTCTCATGGTTTTTTGATAAAACGCTAAATTGTTGCTCCAGGAATGTAAAAAAGAGACCAGGAATGTAGAAGAGAGATCTATTCATCATCTATTTATTCTTCATTTATCACATTGTTAGGTATGTTTGTTTCTGGTTGTGTAAATTTCTTTTGAAAAAGTATTGTATAACAATAATTCATTAAATGTTAAGGTTGGATTCAATAACTTTGTTATTACCTAAAAAATATACCCGATTTTTCTTTTTTAAGTATTTTAAACTGATTATAGACAGTTAAAATGAATAAGAAAAATGGCAACATTTTCACATGTATCGAGGGGGCAATATTAATAATAAACATTTAATGTTACAACATTGAAATCGGTCCACAGGAATACAGGGTAGAACTGTGTCTCAAATAAAAAAAAACATAAATACAATTTTTAAATTAAATGTTTACTTATTTAGGACCGAATTCAATGGGTGGACGTCAAGTTGCATTTCTGTGAAAACTATCTCAATTAACTATGAAATAATGTAGGGCAATATTGCGTTCCGTTCTAGGGGCGCGATGTATTAGGTATCTAAGTTTTACGTGCTATGCGATAATATGGAGTTTATTACTGTGGTTTTTGACGTCTATACTTTTGCTGTTACTAGAAGCGTTGTTACTGCATTTTTTGAGCGTCCCACCGTTGGACAATTTCGTTATGGTTATGTGTCTTAGTAATTGTCGGGGAGTCGGGGGGGGTCTTCTTTATTTCAATAACGTCGATTGAGAAAGCATGCGGATTTATTGAGTTTACAATTTTACAAAATAGTACAAATTAAACTGTAACTCGAGCGATTCGGAGTATGTGTCGGTTTACTTTGTTGAGTGAGCTTTTTACCAGCCGGCAAGAGTCGCCGCGTCGTTACGTAGATCCTCGAGGATGTTCTGGAATCTCGTCAGTCGCCTTGCCATTGAGATAAAGATCCCGCAGTCCCGGAATATGCTCTGTTTTGAAGCAAAAACAATTCTCTTATGGTTATTTATTGCATCTCAAGATAATGTTGCCATTATCGAGTTCTGGTTAACATCAGATATTATCTTCGTATGGTGTTTTGGTGCATCTAGGGTCTTTATTGGGTTTTGGCGCTGTTGGTGGTCACTCCTTAAAGAAATACCTTTCGGTATTAGAATATTTTCGCGAAATAAAAATATTGACAAAAAGTTTCTTTACACGTCTCGTGTCGCTAATAAGGTATTGGTTCTTTTAATTCCACAACATGGCGATTAAATGTGTTTCAGTCGTTACCTTCCAATCTTAATTTACAAAGTATTTGTGTAGATAATAAGTTTAATTATTAAAAAAAATCATAGGATAACACTCCATAACAAAGTCAGTTTTGTAAATATAATATAAACGACGTTCGCGTAGTATGTATTGGATCAACTAGAAATATATAGCTTACATACAACATTTTTGTATAAAGTTTTATTTTGGAAAGATGCAAAACTGTCGGATATAATACTTATAGAATTGGTGCACAGTTGTGACAGCTTTATCTACAGTAGAAATTTCGTCTTTATTTAAAAGATAATGAACAAAAAATAGTATTTCAAAGTTGTGTAGAAAAGTAGTGTTGTGTTTGTGCGTAAATATTTACAAACCTGTTAACAAATAAATTGCCCCCGTGGCTGAACGGTTACCATGCCGGACTGCCACGCAGAGGTCCCAGGTTCGATTCCCGTGTCGGGAGAAATATTTATATGGCCTACATTTATTTCTCTCGTGAGTTTGGGTGTAATTGGTGGTTGTCTATGTGTGTGTCCATAGCACCCGCGACACAGGGTTTCCCTAGTGCGAGGCCATGTTGAGCGTGTGCGTTATTATTATTATTATTACAAGAGCGATTACACACGGCGACCTTTTAGCAGCGCGTCTGCTGTGATTTAGTCGCGATGCAAACACGCATTTAAATCGCGTTTAAACTCGCCGTGTAATCGCTCTAAGGCGGATCACACACATGTACAACAAAAAACTAAAGGTTAATTTTCCCCACGCTTCTAAATGTTTTAAACAGTAATTGTCTTTGAAATATTGTATTTATAAAATGTTAAATTTATGTTTTGCATATTTCCGAAGAAAAAACTAGCATACTATATTCCTAGTTGACCTAAAAAAGATCTCTAAAAGTTGAAAGTACAGTGTTGTAGTAATTGTAAATGTATAGGAGATGTATGCGTTGCGATGAGCTGTGTGTTCGGTTGAACCAATTGCATATTGTTTATTTGTAAAGAAAAATGACTTGTCAGACGGAGTAAACATTATTATATTTATAATATGTGCTCGTTTCATTTTTATGTTTACCTAGTGAACCCTTGTAACTAGAATCCTGCATTAAAGTAAGCTTGGAGCATAACAACACGGAAGGCGCTATAGCCTGTCTTTTTTGAAACTGAGTAAAATGACATTTGCAGGGTTGCCAGTTTCATAAAAAAATCCAGTCTGTCTACCACGGCAGATCCTCTAAGCACGGCAGGCTGTATGTTAATGTCAAATGACATTTCCAAAAAAGCCACAATTAAATCGTTTTTCTTAGTCTATTTAATTTTCTCACCTAAAAGACACGACTTTGTCGTGATAAAGACAACTTTGAATCAGCACGAATAGAGGTGTGCCTTATTCCATGATCGTCAGGATGGCTGGTCGCCTGTGGCGTCTGGCACTGAGTGTATATTCAAGAATTGCTACCTTTTCTAAATAATTGCTACCTATAATATATTCTGAAAAATTTTGACCAGTCATTCTGACGTGGCTGGTCGCCTCTTTGTTCAGCATGAAGGGAGCAGATTTTCCAGAAGTATGTATTACCAATAATTGCTACCTTCACGAATTACAGGTATACGCTTCATATCTAAATTAGTTAAAAAAATATAACTGGTTGAAAATTTTTTTTGAAAAAGTGCCTGACTAAACTAAAAAAGCAAAAGTTTTAGTTATTTATTGCCATAGTATAAAGGGCAGGCGTTTAACAATTACTTCGTGGCGAACTAGTCTGGTGAGGTTGCTGATGTATAGAACCGCGAGGGTAGGTAACCATCATAACGCAATATGCGTGTCATTTGTCACAAGTGATTTACCGCCGCCTAACGATCCACCGTTAAGTGAAATTAGTACCCTTTTATCACATAAAATTTCCAAACAGGCATTATATCTTTCTGTAAAGAAAAATTTCGACTTTTTCTTCAGTGGCCCTAATAATCCTGCTGTTCGTTATGAAGATCAAAACAAAATTCTGTCTAATGATAATCAATCAAAAAAGGAATACAAGGACGAAGTAGCAGTCAGTAAAACAGTAATTTATAATTTTATTATTGATACCCATCAGTGGGAACGAATGCAACCGTTAAGTAAACGTATAAAGTTAAATCATGGACCTGAGACTGTATTTAGAATGAAACATCGCTTGCCTAAGCATCAGTGCGCCCATCTTTTTAAACAGTATTTTATTTCTAAGAATAATAAAATAACGTGCAATGGAATTTGCAAAGAATGTGAGGCTAACACAAAAATTATAATTAACTGACCTTCGAATAAAATAGCCCTGTGTAAGTGCACTGTAACAAACTACGATAAAGATTTTGTTCATACTTTTGCTAAAAAATTAAAACTATATAATTTTTTTAACAAATATATAATTACAACTAAATTCTTTCTTAATATTGCGTTATGATGGTTACCTACACTCTCGGTTTTATACATTAGCAATCTCACCAGACTAGTTCACCTCGACGTAATTATTGAACGCCTGCCGTTTATATTATGGCAATAGAGAACTAAAAACTTTTGCTATTTTAGTTTAGTCAGGCACTTTTTCGCAAAATTTTCAATCGGTTATATTTTTTTAATTAATGTAGATATGAA